CAAACTGTGAGCCTCAAATAAACCGCTTGATTTAACAGATTATCTCATGTATTTTTTTTTATCTCATGTATTTTGTTATTGTGACAAAAAGCTGACTAACATGCACTCCTAGGTGTAAAACTAGAAATGAAAATAAATATAAAACACTTTAATATGAATTTCATGCCAGTGCTATTTGCAGTACATAAAAGATGAAAACAGCCCAAACATCCATCATCTGATGAGCAGATACACAAAATGTGGTACATCCATACTGTAGAAAATTACTAAGCCATAAAAAGAAATACAGTACTTACGTATGCCATAACGTGGATGAACCATAAAGCAGCAGACTAAGAGAAAGAGAAGCCATACACAAAAGGCTACATGTCATATGATTACATTTACATGAAGTATCAGGAATGGGCAAGCTTTACCAGGATGATTACCAAAGACTTAGGAAAAAGAGAATGGGGCCTGACTGCTTAATGGATATGGGGTTTCCTATCCAAACCATGAAAAGGACTTGGGACTTGGTAAAGCTGACAGCTGTACAACATTTTGTTGCAAATGCCAATGAACTGAACCTTTTAACTGGTTAATAACTATTTTATGTTAGGTGAATCTTACACCTCAATAAAAAACAAATTACTAGAAAATGAAAAACAATAAATAAAAATTTATTCTGTCAAACAGCCACAAGTTTCCATTTATCTTCAATTTCTATCTTATTCCTACTCTTATACCTGCTCTTATACAAAACATTCACAGACACACACTAGCCTGGAGCTGGAGATCAACATCTTTGGTTCCATTTGTCACTCAGAGACACTGCTATTCCAAAGGTGCCCCACAACACATCAGGAGCCATCAAGCTCTCCCTCTACCAGATCACTACCACTAGCATCCAGATCTACCATCATATGTCCCTTATCTAACAAAAGGAGAGGTCTCTTTCTAAACTCCCCTCCCTTCAGGTAACTGCCCCATCTCAGTCTTCCCTCTGTGGCAAGATTCCTAGAAGAGCTGTCCATACTCACTGCCCTGATTCTCCTTTCTCATGTACTCAGATATATGCAGTCAGGCTTTGAATCCCCCCTCCCCACCAAGGCAGCCACTCTGCAAAGTCTTCTGTCATTTCTACCTGGCAACAGTTGACTATCAATTCCAGTGCTCATCTCATTTGGCCTGTCAGCATTGTTTGGCTCTGTGATTTCACTATATTTACTTCAAATAACATCTATGCGCTGAACTCTCCAATATTCACTCTTAATAAGGATATTTCCCCTTGACTCCAGACTTCATATATCCAATTCCTACTTCACAGTCAACATAAATGACTCATGAACATCTTAAGTCTAACAAGTACAAAATTAATCTCCTAATGGCCACTACCTATGCTTCTCATGGTCATTTTTACTTCAAAAAATGGAAACTTCAATCTTCTATTTTGTTAGGTCAAAAATTACAGTGTAATCCTAATTCTTTTCTTCCTGTTGTATCCCAAACCCATCAGCCAATCGTCTTGGTTATATCTTTGAATGACATCAGAATTGAACCACCTGTCACTATCACTATGTCCCACACTAAGCCACTACCATCTTTTGCCAGAATTTCTGCCACAGCCTTCTAACCGACTTCTCTGTTTCTACATCTGCATACTATAGCCCATTCTTAAACAGCAATCAGAATGGTCTTTTAAAATCATAAGTCAAACACATCGCCCCTTACTCAAAACCCTCAAGTGGCTTTTCATCTCATGAAATAAAAGCCACAGTCCTTGCCATGGCTTATAAGGCTCTGCATGATCCAGTCCACCATCTCTCTCATCTACTGACACTTCAAGGTATTAAAAAGAAAGCAAACAGCTCTGTTTTTTTTTTTTTTAACAAGGAAAAACATCAAATAGCTGCATGGTAAAAGAAAAACTTCTCTTGAGATTCTTTGCTCCTCAACACTCTATGTTCATTTTGCTATCTTGGCAGGACCAGAGGAAAACATTGAACTTGGACTCATTTCTTTGGATGCTCAACTTACCTTTAAAGAAATTAAAGAAACATAAATTTACTAAAATAACACTTTAAAGAAAACATTAAGCCTATTTAAAACATTGTTCTTCAAATCATTTAGAAGTAACCACTTATGATATTGAGTGTACTACTTAGAAATCGTAACTTATTTATTGAAACAACCAACCAAAGAAACTCAACTTTGATAGTTAAATGGAATTAACGGTTGGCCTTTGCCAATTTCTCACATTAGATATACTAATGTCCCCATCCCCATGTGCCACATTCTATCTCTCGCTCAATGGTACTTACTAAAATAGCTAACTAGTCCCAAAAGGCTTCCCACTTTGCTAAATGCTGATGATGAGACTAAAGATCCTATGTCCCAAAAGATGACCTGTGAGTCCCCTTGTTCCAACCACTATTTCTCCCCCTATCCCATTTGCTTTGTAAAAATGTCATGATCAGGGCTGGGGATTTAGCTCAGCGGCATAAGAGCCTGCCTTGCAAGCAGGCAGTTGTGAGTTCAATCCCTGGTACCGATAAAAAGGAAAAAGACCAAAAAAAAAAAAAAAAAAAAAAAAAGTCATGATCTATGCCTCAGATAGCACATATTTACAAGTCAAAAGCTACATTAAAAAATATTAGCTAGCATTGGGGTTTTTTATTAATTTATATCTCCACAGTAATTCCAAAGTAAATACAGTACTACAGATTGTATTGCAGTTTGTCCTGGCCAGAGCCTTCATTTCTGTAGCTTGAACTCCTGACTGTTAGGGACTTAGATGGCACCAGGAACTTAAACCTGAAGCCACATCTAGAGATGTACACATCTCTAGAAAAGTAAGAAATTCTAGCAATCTTTTCTTATGAAGACTGTACCACTGGCCTTTCTCCTGGACTGGAACCCCTCTTCTTCTGACACTTCCTTTCCACCATAAATTCGAATGCCTACTCCTCTTCTGTGGATTGTTCCTCTCTACTCTAATAAATTGCCACTTACAGTTTTTCTTACTGCCCTGCTCTATTTTTATACCTTTGTCTCAAGCACCGCAGTGCTTCTAAAAATATTCCATGACTCCTTAAATAAGAAGCTTTAGCAATTTCTTCCTGCAAGTGAGTTTCATTCCTAATTTTCTATACAAACGTTTCCTTAACTGATTCATCTGCAAACTGTGTGGTGGTTCCATCAGACAACAGAGTTAGGCTTTTGACCTTTTATGCTTGTCTTCCCTTACAGGGCCAATTCACTTAAAAATGTACCAAATGCATTCACTCAGTCACTCAACCAAAAACACCAAATGGAAGTCATCAGAGGAGATAAAAGGTATATGGTATGTGTCCTCTGTCCCTAAGGGTTTTATAATCCTTACATCCAGAATGAAAGGTAGAATGAAAAAAGTGTCATGTAGGTCCACAGCACTAGGGTTAATATAAGAAGTGTGCTTGTCCACTAATGACAGTGATTAAGGAAAGGAAAGTGCAACCAGCAATGTATACTTCAGTTTCTACAGCTCAAACTCTTCAGATAATGAGTTCACAGCAATGCCTTGATTTCCAAATTCAGAACAATAAAATCTCAAAACACTGGGAAAGTGATGTTTTATTTACTGTACTAAAATAGTGACTTCCATTAATACAGAATATATAGATTATGGAAACTACTCAGTTTTCTATAGAGTCAAATTATTTAGAAAACAAACTTCTTTTATATAGTACTTGGTAAACTCTGGTAGATCACTTCTCTTCCAAGCCATTCACTCCACTATCCTGATTTCTATCTATGCCTCAACTGTGTTCATGTCTCATTTTCCTAAATAAAATGATGATGTATAAATATGAAGAATTTATAAACAGCATCTGGAAGCACAGGAGCCATAAAAGATCTGCCTATCATCACAGCATAGATGCTGCGGAGAAGGTTAAAACTGAAGTTGAGAAATTGTGTATTTCAAAGTGCTTTGGTTCATTAAACATTCATTTTTATTTTAAAGCCTTTATATCAGAGTTATCTGCATTGCTACTGCATAAACTCCAAGATCTACTGTATTAAAAAATGTTTTATTATGTTATTTTACTTTCCTGCAGAAGATAAATATACTTTCAATCTTTAAATGAAAATCTTTGAAAAACAAGTGTTTATTACACAGATATTCAACACACACACACACACACACACACACACACACACACACACACACACGCACACACGAACTTAAACCATATTCTGAGCTGGACACTACAGTTCCCTATAAGCCCTTTACTCAGGAGGCAAAGGAAGGACGATCACTGTGAGTTTGAGGCCAGCTTGTGCTACATAGTGAATTCAAGGCCAGCCTGAACTGCACAGAGAGACTCTTGTCTCAAAAAAAAAAAAAAAAAAAAAAAAACCACATTCTGGGGGCTAGAGATATAACTCAGCAGTACAATGCTTGGCATGTATAAGACCTGGATTTGATCTCTGTAACTGGGGAGAAAAAGTGATCCTATATTTCCCTCTGATTGTCCAGAAAATACATTTTCAGCTTTTGAATGAGAGTGTTTCTAATTATCACAGCAGTTATCCATAAAGGGAAAAAAATCATTGTAAGAATTAAGCAAGTCAGGTATAGTGGTATATGCCTACAACCCCATCTACTCAGGAAATTGAAGCAGGAAGATTCTAAATTCAAGCCCAATCTGGGAAATTTAGTCTTGTCTTAAAAACAAAAATGTTTAGAGATGTAGCTCAGTCATAGAGCACCTGTGTAGCACCCGCGGAACCCTGTGTTCAGTCCTCATTAACACACACACGCCTGCACACACACACACACACACACACACACACACACACACTGACACAACGAAAATAGAGACTCTTCTATAGCTAAATACTGTGAAGCACACTTGTCTAAGTTTTACACATAATAGACTTTCTACCAGCTCCTAAGAGAGAAGCAGTCCAATGGGGCTGGTGACACAGTGCGGGACAGGCACTCACTCCCAACTCTAAAGCAATCTGTAAACACCTACCGCTTGCTTTGGCTTCCGAGTAAGACGGGCTGTCCTCAAAAGTGAAGATCTGGGACATGCTCTGGCCCAGGTAGGAGGGAGGCCCATAGTAAGAATGCATCCTGTACTGGGAACTCATCGCATGGCGGTTCTCCGAGCTTTTCATCTGTGAAAGAAAAAAAGAAGGAACACACTGAAACCAAAGCTGCATTTAACAATTATTACCACCCCCTCAAAAAACACCCCAGGCTGGTGCACCCTCATATCTCTTACATTCTGGAATACCCTTGAAAGCATCTCTAAATTCCCTCCTGCTGGATGATGCTCAACAAGTACTGAAAAGAACAATGTAGTGGAGATGGGAGAGCAGTGCTGGGGAGTTAACGAAATCCACTGTAACACTGCCGAGGCTACTGGACCTCTGCATGTATTTCTCAGGTGTGAAACTGGCACTTGACCTTTGTTACCATATACTGTTCATATAAGATGGCTAGCAAATAAAACACTGTAAACAACATGCAGAGCATGCATGGGGTAAGACAGCAGTCACTGGTGTGATGGTGTGCTGCTCCTGTCACTCAGCATCTCTTCCTACATCCTTCTGTGCTTTTCCTTTAGCAGGGGACTGAGGTCCAGGATCTAGATTCTGGAGGTGATTTGGACTCAGCTAGAGGGTAGAGATGGGAAAGGCACAGAGAGGCGCAAGCCCTTCCTCCAGCAGCTGTGGAATGAGGACCTGATAATCTCTGGATCAGACCCTGCCTTTGGGACCCGATGCAGCTTTTACATAAGCAGCAGTTCTGGAGCTTCCTGACCTCTCATTCAAAGCTCAGGAGATGTGACCTGGTGGCTCAGAAGGGGCTACCCACTTTGAATTTCCCAGATCTTCTGATGAGTTTGGAAGGGCTACTTCCATAATCATTTAAAATCATTTCCTGCACAGATCCTAATGGTATAGATATTAAGCACTGGACTCATAATTGTATCCTCATATCAAGAACACAGCTGGACTTTATTTATACCACTATTTCACATTAAATTTTGATGGATTCCACTTGTTCTTCACAGTACTGGTGTTAGAACCCAGAACCCTGTGTACACTAGGCAAGCACTCCACTGCTTCTACCTCTGTCCATGTGAATGGTATTAACCTTTTAAAAATAAATCCTTCAAATAGAATGTCCAAAATAAAACAATTACGATCAGAACTAAGAAATAATTTCAAAATCATATTTTCGGTTCAAATGTTTAGAATGCTACTTTGATAAAGAATCATTGGGCGCTTTGACAGAACCATTTGATAGATTACTTCCTATACTATCCAGAACCTGGCAGGCAAAACTAAGTAAGAAGCTTCCTTAATAATTTTTATGAGACAACAACTGCCCAAGTAACCCCAGCCCAAATGTACTTTGAATACTATGGCATTGGTTGGTGGAAAAGAATTTCTGATTTTCATGACCCTTTGAGATGCTTAAGAGGATTTTTGTGATCCTCCCAGCTCAAGTTCATGCTCTGAGGAGTGCACTCTTGCCCCAAGGGGAACCAAAGACAACTTTACTACATGTGGCAATTTCCTTTCAAGTGAGGTTTTCCTGGGCAAGTTCCCTTTATCCTTTCTACTTTTTCAAAACATATACAATAACATCTCTTCTTGATGAATCACTCGGTTCTCTTTTCTACCATCATATAAATCGTTACTAAACAAGAAGTCAAGTCAGCTGCACTTGGAAAATAGCCAGAGGAAAAGAACTGGCACCCACCCACTCGAGGGAGCTCAAGTCTGGAGGTCCATTAGGGAGCCATGAAACCATTAACAGGGAGAATAATCAATAGTAGCAGTTTACCACACAGAGCAGCACCCAGTTATCAATTAAACTGGCATTTCCCAGCGTCCCTTAATGGGCACACAAATGGCCTGGGGATTTGCCAAATGCAGATTCTGATGCAGTAAACCTGGAATCTGACAAGCTTCCCAGAGAGGATGATTCTGCTGGTCCTCAGATTTGTTCTGGTGACAACAAGCTGAAATAATTGATCGTTTCACACTTAGGAGCCCAAGACCAAAGGAGGATCAGCTTAAAAAAAAAATCAACTTGTTTTAGCATTACAACCTTCAGTTTCCAATGGGTGCAAAGGGTAGAAGCTTATATAAACAGCAGAATTCCCTTTTCATCACTTTTCTTTTTATATCTGTAAATTTTTCCAGAACTCAAAATTTTTTCAAGGCTTGCTGCCATGTGTTAGTGCCGTAATGGTTACAACAAACTCAAGCTCACTTTGAAAGGAAGAGCCAGTTCTACCTCCAGAGACTGCCCTCAAGTCAGTTATGCAGTTTGGGGAATGAGCCCTAGACTAGTAGGCAAAGGGCAGGCTGTTAGGTGCAAAGGCCCTAATATAAGCCATAGGGCCGGTCTACTCTGGGTGCCAAGCTATTGTTCCTCAGGTCTGGCAAAATCTACAAGTCAGTTCCTCAAGGAAAATGCTTTCCACTTTTCCCTATGTACAAAAAACAGACAAAACTTGAGCCTGTAGGCTCTGCAAAACACTTTATTTTACTATGAAAGTTCATACAAATTTTCTTTTCAGAGTATTTGACAAATGTCTGCTGTGACTCCACAGCAAGGTCAGCAGAGTCTACAAATTGTCAAAGAATAAGTATTTTAGGCTTTACAAATCATAGCTCTCTTGGCAATTGCAAATGAATGATCATGGCTGCGTTCCAATAAAACTTTATGCAAATGTACACTGGTTCTCAACTTCTGACTCCTATTGCAATAAATGAAAGGGGCATCCAAGCACTCAGGCATGGATGCTAGCTCCAGTAAAATCTGGCTCAACTGGTCTGAGATGTGTTATGGGTCTTTGCAGAACTCCTCAGGCAATTCTAGCATCCCCACAATTGGGAACCAGTACCTAAACCAATGACATATCCCCAACATACTTCAGAATCCCAACATCTGTTGTATTAACTAAAGAATACAAAAGGTCAAGTACGACAAAAAGACTGGTCAACTGCTGCCAATTCCAAAATTATTCAGATAAATGGTGGCACTCGCTTTAACAAAAGCTTACTGGAAAGTAAGCACAATTTCAAATGCATGCGTATGTTCATTCCCCATCTTCTTTTTCTACGTTTATAGAAAGCATCAAATAATAAGCTTTATTTGGAACTAGGAAATGAGTTACTTGGTCTTAATATTCAATTTCCCCAGTGAGTAATACCCAGGAACACTGAGCTCCTAAAAACTTCCAGCAAAACACAAAGAAGATACAGAAGGTCAGGCTCCATTTGATTATTAAAATTTGAACTTCTCGAGGTCAACAATCACTTCAGCTACATCGAACTCCAAGAATAATCCACAAATAAGCACTCCCATTACAGAAGAGTAATCTCAAGTGTTTCCCAGACATAGGAAGTTAAAAAGGAACTGCAACACACCCACGAACTGTGATTTTACACTCCAAATCAGTTCCTGATCCCTTCTAACCTTAAAAAAAATTTCACAACCCTGCTACCTTTGGCTTAAACAAAATGAGTAAGTAACAAAATCTTTGAAATTGGTCGTGTTACCTTAAACCAGTAGCTCAAACTGTGTGAGCGTACACAACACTTTGGGTGTCTGGAGACATTTTGAATTGTCACACTTGGTAGGGGGAGGGGATACTACTGGCATGGCTGGCAACTGGTAAAGGCAGACAGGCTGCTGGACAGAGGGCAGTGCTCAGCACAATAAAAAATTATCCAGCCCCACACTTCCACAGGACCAAAGCTGAGGAGCCCTGCTTTAACCTAATGCCCCAGTGGCTCCTAGCACAGTTGCACTCAGGAACAGGTGTGTTAACAAATTAGAGAACTGTTCAGCATTCCTAAGGAACGTTTTCTCCCTTTATGTAATACTACTTTGTTTCTTCTCAAGGTTTTACTTTTTATTCCTTTAAATAAGTAAACCAAGTAAAAAACCTAAAAACCAGAGATTCCAGTGAATTTTGGTGACTATCACTATTAGTGTATCGTAGCTGATAAGAAGATTATTAAGCAAGCCTCTCACTTATCAGCCTCAGTCTCTGAACCAGAGTATGAGCCACAGATAGGAAGCAGCCTGGTAAAAACACAGATGCTGCTACTATTAACCCCAGAGTTTGAAATCTAACAGCCCAGAGTTTTGTTTTATTAAACTGTTGAGAACAGCATTGCAATAAATATGAACCATAGGCCTCCTTTCATAAACCTTAGCCACCCTATTTTATAGTAACGATAATATCCCAGCAAAATATACAAATCTTTGGACTCATTTCTCTTTTAAAAAATATCTACGTAGTATTCACTAATTCTGTATTAAGACTTTAGGTAGACTTTTTAATCTTGCATTGAATTGACTACTTTTTCAAGTGAACAGCTAAAAGGAATTCCTGAAGGCCAAATTATCCTGTGGTTCATAACCATATGAAATGTAGCTATGTTGAACTGGTGTTAATGTAAGAAAGGGACCTGTCTTCCCGAGAAGATTTCTCTACAGGAGCAAAGATTCCCTGGGCACTGCAAAGTGGCTAACAGTCTTTTTAAATTGAAAAAGCCACATTTGAGGTGAACCTCTGGTTTTCTGATCAGAAACTTTTTCTAAAAAGCAGCAGAATTGTACACAGACTAGAAGTCCAGGTCTCTAGACACACTGTGAAAAAAGCCAGTGCTAGGTTTTGCCTTCATTAAATGATTTCTTTGGCTTTAACAGAAGCTTCTTTACAAACCATCTGAAATGAGATGCCTCATTCCAACAGAAGCCATCCTGGCCTGCAGACCTTCCTAGGGATGGGTTGGTTTGTCACCAGAAAGTCCCCATCTCCTACTGAAATGTGAATGTCACTTTTTCTCTGGAACTTCACAAGTCCTGGCTGGAAATAATTATTTTTACTACACAGGCTAAAAGTGAGTGCTATTATGCACACATTTCAGAGAATACTGAAGCCCCAAGGACCCAAGGCTGAGTCACATGGTACAGGCGGATTCCCCACAGCTACAGTGCCTGGATCTCTGCTTTCTTTTCCCATTCTCTCCTCTACGGATTAGTTACCTCTCTTCTGATTTTGTGCCTTCCCTCACTGTGCTGACCTCTTGTCCTCTCAGGTCATCAGGCTGTGGAAAGCCCAACAGGAAAGAAAAAAAAA